CAGAAAATATGCAAAAGACATAAACAGATGTTTTATTAGTTTGATTAACGTTCTAATGAATTAGCTGATGTTGTCAGTTAATAATGATAATGATATAAAGAGTCTCAGAGTTGCAAACAGTTGCATTATCCTTAACTTTAATTTTCTTTTCATTCTTTCTTTTTTTTTTGTTGTTGTTGTCATAACAGTCACAAACGAGCTTCCACATTTACCCTAATTCTTTTTTTTTTTCTTTTTTTGTTGTCATAACAGTCACAATCGAGCTTCCACATTTACCCTAATGTAATACTTTCAAAAATGTCCACACTGTAGTTGCATATGTGGTAAAGGGCTGGAGCAGAGGGCAGCGGAGCACACAGAGCCTAAGAGGAACAATAACAGCAAGATTTGTGATGACTGAGAGAACAGAAATGTGGCCTGGATTCTGCACAGTCATCCTGCTGCAGCTCTTTTTTTTTTTCAATATATCTACACGCCTCAAGCTGTGCTCCTTCCTTTAAGAACACACTCACAAAGGCTGCATACACTGTTACTCTTATCTTATTTAAGTCAGCCTATGAATGTGCAAACATGCTGTTCATTATCTGCATTCAGATATACATGCAACAGTGAATTTGCTATAATAAAAAAATTATCTTTAAGTTATAAATAATTTAGAGCAGCTTCTCACAGACGTTTGGTGTTTTTATTGTCTCCAACCTCACCTACAGTCAGTACAGGATCTACTGGAAATCTACTGACGATCACGCATGAAATGACTATCAGCAGCATTTATGGTCAAGCTCTTCTTGGCTTATGTAACTGTGTTTTGCAAGATGATGGTAAATATTTACCTCAGACTTAAAGGCATCAGCAGTGGATATGAATCTACACACCTGTAGATGGTGAAATGGCAACATTTTCATTATGATAAATAATAACGCCAAGAAGGACACTTTTTAAACTCCTTTCTTTTTCTTTTCTTTTTATTTAGTCCTTATTTGGCCCTTCAAATTGCACAATATAAATACAAATATATTACCATGTATATATAATGTGTGTGTATCTTATGTGGCACATCAGATGTAACATGTAATAAGGGAATCTGGGGATACAGTACATATCACAATACAAGGGCAACGATGTCGAAACTGTCAGCATAGTAAACACATGATGAATAATTGGAACAGAGGGACATCTTCATTGGTCCAACCATTGTCCTTTGTCTAATGTTGGTAAGTAAGGAAAGGAAGGAAGGAAAGGAAAGTGAACTCCTTGTCACTGTGACTCAGCACACAACCAAATGTGACTCCTGCTTTTAACCCATCACCAAAGTGAACAGTG